CCTAGTTCAAGAAGCATCAATAATTAGACTAAATCAGATAGAAAGAAAACAGAAACAGATTAAGTTTATAAATAAAGAAATAGAATATAAGAAAATCGAAGAACAATTAAAAAATGAAAAAATTATAAAAATTATAAAAAATTTAGAAGAGAAAATTAAAAAAGAAATCTGTAGTTTAAATCCTATAGCTTTTCATCATAGAAAAAGCCATAAGGTAGAACTTCCATATGAAGAAGGCTTTAATGAAACAAATATACCCACAAAAGCTAGACCAATACAAATGAGTAAAGAACAATTAGAATTTTGTAAACAAGAATTACAAGAATATTTAGAAAAAGGATTAATTAGGCCTTCGAAGTCTCCTTGGAGTTGTACTGGGTTTTATGTAAATAAAGCCTCAGAACAAGAAAGAGGAGCACCAAGACTTGTAATAAATTATAAGCCTCTTAATAAAGTATTAAAATGGATTAGGTATCCTATACCTAATAAACAAGATTTAATAAAAAGATTAATTAATGCTAATATATTTTCAAAATTTGATATGAAATCAGAATATTATCAAATATCTGTAGCAGAACAGGATAGATATAAAAAGGCTTTTGTAGTTCCCTTTGGTCATTATGAGTGGAACGTCATGCCTCAAGGTTTAAAAAATGCTCCCAGCGAGTTTCAAGAAATTATGAACAATATATTTTACCCTTATATGGATTTCTCAATAGTATATCTAGATGATGTGCTAATTTTTTCAAAGGGAATTAATCAACATATACAACATTTGAATAAATTTATAGAATTAATAAAGAAAAATGGATTATGTGTTTCAGCCAAGAAAATAAAAATTTTCCAAGATAAAATTAGATTTTTAGGATTTAATATTTATCAAGGGACAATAACTCCGATACAAAGGTCTATAGAATTTGCAGAAAAATTTCCAGAACAGATAAAAGATAAAACACAATTACAACGATTCTTAGGATGTTTAAATTATGTAGCGGACTTTTTACCAAATATTAGGACAATATGTGCCCCTTTATATAAAAGACTTAGGAAAAATCCCCAACCATGGGATGAAGAGATGACAAAAGCAGTTCAACAGGTAAAATTATTAGTTAAAAGTCTTCCTTGTTTAGGGATACCAGATCCTTTAGCCTTTCTGATTGTAGAAACAGATGCATCAGAGACAGGATACGGAGGGATTCTTAAACAAAGATTACCAGAGTCCAGTATAGAACAGGTTATAAGATATTATTCAGGAATATGACATCCTGCACAACAGAAATATTCTACAGTAAAAAAAGAAATTTTGAGCATTGTTTTATGCATTCAAAAATTTCAAGATGATTTATTTAACAAATTTTTTTTGGTAAGAACGGATTATAAAGCTGCACCATCTGTATTACAGAAAGATGTTCAAAATCTTGTTTCTAAACATATCTTTGCTAGATGGCAAGCATTATTATCTAACTTTGACTTTGAGATACAACATATCAAAGGAGAAAAGAATTTTTTACCAGATTATTTGACAAGAGAATTTTTACAGGAAAAATGTCAAAAATGAATAGCTCAGATTATGCTATACCAAAGAAAGACGAACCAGAGTTACCAAAAACCCCAATCAGAGATAAAGGAAAAAAACCAATGACCAGTTTACAAGTTTTACAAACCATAGTAAATCCTATTCAGTCCCCATCACCAAATAAATTTACTGTCTTAACCAAACCAACCCAAAACATACAAAGTCAACCATCCTCAAATCAAACCAGAAAACTTCCTCAGTGGGCCGATCAGATATATCAAAAGCCTATAGAAAAAACTGACAAGATCCCAGAATATTATGAAAAACCCTATGGATTACCCATAATGGAAATAGAACCAGAATGGTTTAAATTAAACCGAACAGAAATAGCCAGAAGAGTATTTCCACCAAATTGTCATGTGGTTCCAACTTCTTCTGAACAAAAAAGGGAATTCTATGAGCTAATTCTTATTGACTCAAAATCTATAGAATTGACTCACAAAAAGAATGAACAACAAGAAATAATTTTTTCAAAATTTAAAATCTGCCAAATATTGACTCCAAAAGACTGGGGGCAACATTTGTATTGTTATCGCAGATTTACCATAAATTATCAGCCAATACAATATAATTATTTTGATTATATTAGAGCTTGGGAAAAGTTTCTTTTCTTAAGGCCAGATACTCATTCCTGGTTCATTTGGTTCCGAAAGGGAATTTCATTACACTTTCCAAAATGGTTTTCGGCCTGGTTCCATAATTTTGGGCCAGTTCAGGAAATACTTCCAGAAAAAGCACAAAAAGCCTTTCAGATCTTCTCAGAAAAAGTAAAAATTTCAGAACCATATAAATTTATTTCTTTTATTGCATCCCAAGGAATTTCTTGGATTATGATGTGGCAATATGATTCAGCAAAATTGGAATATGATTCGTCAGTTCAACTATTAATCCGAACCATAAAAGTAAAATGGTGGATTAATTTTGATCTTAATCTTTTAGAAGCCACAAAAATTAATCAGTGGATACAAAATAATGTTCAAAGTCCCAAATTAACTCAAGAAACTCTAAAAGAAAAGCAAAATCAAGAGTTTCTTCAGCAGAAAGCAAGATTCTTAGTCAGTCTGAGTACAGCAGGTTCAGAAAATGAATTCAAGAAAATAATTGAGATCATGTCACCCGAAGTTACAAGTATAGCCTCTGAAAAAGACAGGAGAAGTCTTAGTCCAGTGGAAGATGATGACTATGGCTACTTTGATAATGAAGATGATTGCTATGGAATCTCTCCATAGTAACAAGAAAACAAAAGAAAGAAGAAGACAAAGTTCAAAAAGACAGACAGACTCGACATAAAGCAAAAGAAGAAAGAAGACAAAAGACAAGAGAACAACAATTTAGCAGTAATAGTAAAATCTTCTCTTATAAATTGTAAGCTCGGCTTCATTTGAAAGCACGAGAAAAAACATCCATTAGAAAACTCTCTTCATAGAAATCCTTTCTTGGTAAACTTAATGTTCCCTTGAGATAGCCTACAAGAACTTTGGTATCACAATATTGTAAGTTTTATCAAATTTTGAATATATTATCATATCTTCATCATGCTTATCGTATTTAAATCAGAACTATATCTAGATCCAATGATCTGCTGGTATCAGAGCCTAAACGGGTTCTGATTTCAGGAGGGAGAAGAAAGAGGTTGTTGTTATATTTGAACATTATTTTGAATATTATGCCATACGAAATCATCATGCCTTTTTATATTTATGATACATATTTAAGTCTACTTTGTAACCTAAAAGTAAAATGACAAGCATGTAGGTATATATTCTCTTTTTCGTCATTCCCTTGATTTTGTCCTTTTGTGCTGACGTTATCTTCCTCGTCAATTACTCCCAGTTTAAGACAACGATGCTCAGCCAACTTTGGTTTTATATATCTCTGAAAATTCAGTTTATGAATATGCTTTTTTAAGAACTCATGTTAAAGGAATACAATATGTTTCATTGATGTCAAGTTGCAATAGAGAATAAAGCTTGACTTTAGAGCGACTCTCTATAAGTTCTTTTTTTCCTTTTTAAAGTGTCATTACATTTTTATAAACGGAATAAATAGCTGCAACGTGGCTATCTCTGTCTGACATGGAACATGGAAAATGCTGTTTATACATAGATATTCATAAATCGCTTCGATACTTTATTTTATTGAGAAAATAAAAAAATTAACAATAAGAATTTTATTAGTATTTTAAAATAGTATAAAAATAATGTAACAAAAATGATGCACAAATGATATTTTTATTTTCTAAAGTCATCAAACAGTAGAATTAATTATGTGCGGGTTATTATCTTAGCCCAGTTAACTCACTATTTTGTCTAGAAATCGGAAGTAACAGAAAAGGAGGAACTTCTACGATCTGAATCCAAACATCTTAAATAAATATAATGGTTATAATGATTTTATCAAAATTTCCTTTCAGATGAAATGAATCCAACTCTATTAAATGTAATTTCTTTTGTTCCCCGTTTTTTTTTTCTTTCGGAAAACAGGAAACACTTGTATGCTATACAGTGCTTGAACTGTAGGACAGGGACATATTGACTTGAGCCTTTTAAACATGACGACAATTAAGAGAAAAGTAGCTTTATTCTTAAGGGATAAAGAAAATGCCTTTCTCCTGAATTTATACATAAGCATCCAAATTATTAACCTACCATGGAATTGTCCTATAAAAGGTTTCAGCACCACAAATTTGACATGTTGGTCCATCTCCAACACCTGTCAACTTTCTGTAAGCCACATTTCAAATTCTAGACACCCATAATATAAAAGGTCTTTTCCAAATACGTGTGCAAAAGGGCTTTTGATCCGGGACTCAAAAAGTATCCATAGTAGTGCTACTATTTAACAAGAAAATTGGATTCACAGGTTGGCAAAGTTGACCACGTCACGACTTTTAGACACCATAATTATTATTACTGGAGACATTAGACACCATAAAAACATTAAATTTATTATTTAAATAACTTTTACATGGCACTGTTGGCCATACCCAATTGTATGTTTTTTCTATGACAAATGTACCTGTTAGATCAAATTATATTTAAAAAGTATTATTATTATCAGCGATAGCGTTAATTATGTGACTATTAGTATTATTATTGTTCAAAAGCCCAAGGCCAGGTCACTGAATTAATGAACTAGGCTTACTCAAAAGTTGTTAGCCCATTATGTGAATGAGCTTGCAACATGGAAAAATAATCACTCCGACCAAAAAAAAAACATAGAGGAAATATAATTATTCCTCCTATCTCGTAAGCCCATTCAATCCCTTCATACTCGTTCCTTTACACAAGATTAACGGATTTCAGTTATTTTGATTTTTTCATTACCCCAAGAGTTTTTTCGTTTGTTTTCGGACAAATTCATACACAAGAGTTTGAACAAAAGCATTTATTTGCTGTGATCTTGATCTGATTATCATTGAAGGATGAAGAAGGAGGTGTTGGTGGCGCTAAGCACAACTCTGACGGTGGTAGTACTGGGGGCATTGATCAGGAGGTGGAAGCGGAGGAAAGAGCAACAATTGAGGAATGCAAAGAACATTATTCGAAAGTTTGCAAGGGAATGTGCCACCCCAGTCACAAAGCTTTGGCAGGTTGCTGATGACTTAGTGTCTAACATGAAACTCTCTCTTGCTTCTTCCGCTCAAACCTCCCCTCTCAACATGGTCATTTCCAATGTTACATCCCTCCCTCAAGGGTAATTAATATTTATACTGAGGGTATTAATTAGTACAAAAAATAATTATATAAAAATGTAATGTCATTTAACACTTTGATTTTCGAAATAATAATTTGCATTGGCATTTGGCAGAGACGAGGAAGGTTTTTTTTATGGAGTTAATTTGCAAGGGACGATTTTGTTGATGCTGTGCGCGCGTCTTGGAGGAAAGAATATGCCTATCTCGGCTTTACACAGGGAAGAAATTTCCATCCCAGATGTTATCTTGGCTGGTACTTCTGAGGTATTTTTATTTTAATGTTTTCAAAAAGCATAAAAAAATTATAAACGTGAATTTAATATAAAATTAAAACCAACAAATATTGAAGTTAACGTGAATCTAAAGTCACTCTTAATTCCTATAATTTTGCTTTCGCTTAAAAAAGAATTAGTTTTTAAACAATAATTTATATCCTCTATCTTTTGTTTTTACAATAGAATAATAAATGAAATTTTTTATATAATATTGATTTTATAAAATAGTAAAAAGATGATTAAGAAGAAATGGAAAAGCTAATTTCCAAATGGCAATGCAAAAGTTGACGCTCATCATAAACATTGAGTGTGGTACGAATAGGAAATGATTGAATAATAATATGAAGTTTTTTGTTTATATTTAAATTTGTTAATTTGATTGATACAAATCTGTGCATTAAATTAAACTTTATTTTAATTTTCAGGAAATAACAGATTTTGTAGCTACAGAGATAGCAAAGTTCGTTTCGGATCATCCGGAGATGGAGGACAGTGCACCCGCCAAAAAGAAGAAATTGGGATTCACTTTGTCATATCCCGTCGACGAAATTATGCCATTCACGGTCACTTCATTTCAACGCAAAAGCGCAAACCAACCAGTTGAGTTCAGTATACCCCCTTCTCCTTTATAATTCTTGTGTAGTATTGTTTTAGTGAATATATAAGAATTATATTTAATTGCACTTTTGGTTTATAGTTTAATATATGTATGATTTTGGTTTTTCTAGTTTATTTATATTTTAAAAAAATTTTAAATGCTGAAATTAAATATTTCATTTTAAAATTAAAAATTTTATTATATTTTATATTTTTTATATATTTTTCTTTATTTGTTTGTATAAATTAATAAAATTTTATACTTCCATTATATTTTTATTAGTTATTAGGTGAAATTTTAGGCTGAAAGATTTACATTGAAATTTGAAATTTAGAGAAACTAAATGTGAGTAATTAAAATTAAAAAAGCTAAAGTTACATACATATTAAAGTATATGTGCTGAAAGTGCAATTAAGCCTAAGAATTATTATCTTATTCATTTTATAATTAAATTGATAAATTTAAAAGAGGTAGGAACTATGTCAAGACTACAACCAGAAGAGTGTTTAGCTTGCTTGAGAGACTGATAACAAATAACTTCATTAACAATTTAGGGTTTATTTTTTAAAAGTTAGAAATTTAATTATTGTATTTTTTAATAAAATATATATATTATAATAAAATATGTAATCTAAATTAATTTATGTTGCAATATTTTATTATAATAATTAAATTAATCCAAATAACTTCAATTCAACTCCAAGACATAATCATAATTGAAATCTCAATGTTGCAATGTTAAAACAATCATTCATGTGGTGTGACTAGGTTCGCAAAGGAATGGTAAAAGACTTTAATCGAGCATTGACGAACCATGGAATGAAAATGCACGTTTCTTCAATGGTTAGAGGTTCTTTCACTAGCCCAATTAATTTTGTAAATGTTACAACTTCATGAGTCTTTTCCATGTCTCAAAAAACAGCGGATTCAAAAAATTAATACTGAAAAATAGGTTGATGACACCATTGGAGGTTTGGCCGGAGGAAGATACTATAGTAGGGACAGCGTTGTTGCAATTACTCTTGGCATGAGCACAAATGCTGCTTATGTAGAACCAGCAGAAGTTGTTGCAAGTGACCTTGCACAATCTCCCAATTCAAGCGAGCTGGTTAGTCATTATAGTGTTATAACACACACATAGAGGCTGTTAAGTGTTACTCTGAGTTAAGCAATTTAAATGATTAATTAAGGTGTAGTATTGTAGGTAATTAGCATGGAGTGGGGAGACTTCAAATCCCCTCATCTTCCTTTGACACCATTTGACGCTAGTTTGGATGCTGAGAGCTCAAATCCTGGAAGAGGGGTATAGTTTCTCAAATCACCATGGTGCATGTACCATCATAATTTATAATTATCTACAACTGACGTATCAATCTTGGGTTTTCTACCTCAAGATTTTCGAAAAGCTGATTTCAGGAATGTATTTGGGAGAAATAGTGAGACGGGTCTTGTTGAAGTTGGCCCAGGAAACAGCCTTGTTTGGAAGCAGCGTGCCTCCAAAATTGTTGACTCCATACTTGCTCAGGTATACCCAAAGATTATGCCCAAGTTTGAAATATAACTTATAAAATACTTGTTTTCTTTACTTTAAAAAATGTTTATAATCAAATATACAATATAAACAAAGTACTAAATAAGTAATCAATTAAATTATATTTCTAGACGCATTCTATATATGTAATGATGTAAAATTAGCTAGGACAATCTTATTCATCTAGTGTGAACTTTCTTTTATTTCATTTCTTTTCTAGCTTTTTTTATATGATTTTTTTAAAATTACCAAAATATGAGATTTTTAATAAAATTATAAAAATATAATTTTTTTTAAAATTATCCTTGACGACTTTTGACCATCCTTTTTTAAAAATTACTAGTAATAACTTTTGACTATTTTTTTGTACTTTTTAAAAAATTTATTGTTCTTTTAAAAATTACTATTAGTGACTTTTAATTTTTTATTATTTTAATATTTTATTACTTTTTTTATTTTTATTTTTGAATTTTTTTACTTACACTGAAAATTGTTATTAGTGATTTTTAAACTTTATATTTTAGTAATTTTAAAAAAATAACACATTTTAATATATATATATATATATATATATATATATATATAATTTCTAAATACCATGTATAATAAAATAATCTCTTTTTTTATTGTATTTTTATTTTTTCATCTTTCAGTGAGTCTACACCTAGTATTATTAGTTCCAACTTTACGTGGAAAAAAGTGAGGTAGCGAGCGACGCGTGAACTAGGAGTAGATAGTGATAGACATAATCTGTCTAACTTAACATGTGGTAGGTCTCCTGATATGGCTGCTATGCATCAAGACACATCAGAGGAACATGAAGTAGTGGGTGAGAAACTGAAGGAAGTATTCGGGGTAAGAATGTACATTTTGAGCATTTTGCGTGAATTAAGATGGGATGTGAAGACACTAAGTGTGGGTTTTGAATTGGACAAAAATAGATAAATAGTTGCAGTGCAATGGGACGAGAAATGGTAGCAGAGGTGTGTGACATCGTAACAGAGAGAGGTGCAAGACTAGCGGGAGCTGGAATTGTGGGAATAATAAAGAAGCTTGGGAGAATTGAGAATAGGAAAAGTGTGGTGACCGTAGAAGGTGGGCTTTATGAGCACTATCGCATTTTCAGAAATTACCTTCATAGCAGTGTCTGGGAAATGCTTGGGAACGATCTCTCTGACAATGTCATCATTCAACATTCTCATGGAGGCTCTGCAACCGGTGCTCTGTTCCTTGCTGCTGCTCACACTCACGCTCATCGTGCCGATTCTTGAACATCTTTCCAATTCAGCTTTTCTTTTTCTCTATGGAGCGATGTTTAAGAAAAAATATACACGATGGTTCAGCTTCAAAGAAGAATGTTATTTTTTAATTTTTTTTTTCTCCCCTTTGGTCGATGAGCTTACAACTGGGTGATTTGGACTCGTTATTCTAACGGACATGTGGCATACAGGGGTGGACAGTCTAGCTAAATTGGGCTGGTAGTGATAGTAGACAAATATGGTTTTTTGAATTTGGATTTGGGCAGTTAACCTAAAAAAAAAAGGATTTTTTTGATGGCTGTAAAACCCTTTAATCTAAATCTCGTATATAAATGGCAAATGCTTCGTTCATGCCGTGTCATTATAAAAGGTAAAGTTTTTAAATATTATAACATAGTCTTTCGTTTTTGCCATTTTATTTAATTTTTATTTATCAATTACTTTTAATTAAATATCAAAACTTTCAATTCAAAATTTATTATTTATTATGCTTTTTAAGAAAAAAAAAGTCTATTTTTCTTTCTTATATATTTTGTTACATGTAATTTCGAATTTAACTTTTAAAAATGTACAACACGATATTTTATATTTTTTGAAGTATATCAAAAAAGTTTTTTCGTTAATTAATTATCTAATTTTTTTAGACAAAAATGTTTATCATTACATAAAAAAGAAGGTTTAAGAATTTAAAAGTAATTTTGTCTAATAAAAAAAATTACAAAGTTAATTAACGACAGGGCTTTTTTTTTTTTTTTTGCACACTTTCGAAATTATAAAGGATCCATGGTATTGTACGCATTCAAAAGTCATGATTTAATTGCATATGATGAAATATAAAGGGAAGTAAATTTATATTTTCTCTACTTTTATTGAATATTAAACTAACAAACATGCCTTCATAAAAATCCTCTCACCAATGGCTTGAGCATTAGTCATGTGAATCATTAACCATTACAGGGTCCTTACGTTTAAGATTTATGGTCCTACAAATAATACCCCTTTTCTCAAGGTTTCAAACTTTAGATCCCTAAATCCCCGTCTTAAATTATCATTTGCATCTAAAAATTGCCACCATAAATCATTGGCATGGAGCACCTCTAGTTGATCGATTTGTTCGTTAGCGAAAATGCCTACTAATTGAGAAGAAGCAATGGTTAGCAAAGGAGATCAAATTTCATGTACTCATTTAAAGAACCTGAAGCAATGAGCTAGTGAGAGAGAACTGTTAGCAACTATGAGTCACAACCAACGAGGAGTGCTTTAAAAAAAAAAAAACATTCATTAGAAATAAATATTTTTTAAATATTAAAGAACTTGTTGCTAAAGTTTTTTAAAGAAATTTTTTTAAAATAATATGATTTTTGAAATAAAAAAAAATTAAGAGTCATTTATATGTAGATCTTACATTATCTGTTCCAGTAATAATTATTTTAAATTAATTTTATAAATTTATTATAATTTTAAAAATATTTATTTAATACCTAAATATTATTTTATATTATTTTTATTTTTTTAAAAGAATATTTATTTATTAAAATAATAACTTATATTATGGAAAGAAGAATAAATTATTTTTACTTATTGACTTTAAATTCTGCTCTTACGTATCTTTAAGCGCAATAAAAAAATTTGAAGTCATATAATTTATATAAAAATTATGAAATAATCATCTAATAAGTTTAGGATAAATTATAAATTATTTTATCGATAAAATAATTTTTTAACTTAATTAATAAATCGATTGATTAGTAATTAAAGTGAAAATATTTAAATATATATATTTTAAAGGATCACATTTTTAATTAATTTAAAATAAAATATTTTAACTTAAAAAATTTATATAGTATAAGATTAATGGTAACTTAAAAGGAAAAATAATGTTAAAGAATAAATAAATAAAATAAATAAATATCTAAATGAAAAAAATACAAAAATTATAGTGAGAATTTATTTTCAATGATGTATTTTTAATTAAAGAGATAAATTTTATAAATAAAATTAAAAGATAAATATAACACGATCAAAATAATAAAAATTAATATTATATTTAATTTAATTTTAATTTTCTCTTAATATTTTTATTATTTGTGAAGAATAAAATCAATTTTTTTTAAAAATCTCATCATTGGTAATTTTTAATTTTTACTAGAATTCTAAAATATAAAATTGTTATTAGTGAGTTGGGTAAAAAAAATATTCTTGTAATTTTACAAAAAAAAATCATATTATAATAATGAAAAAGTCCTTGAGATATACCAAGAAAAAAAAGATAAAAAATGAAAACATATTATAATAATATAAAAAGGAAAATAAAGAATCTAAAATAAATATAAAAATTGGAATAAAGAAAATGAGATAAAGAAAATATGAATATTATGATTAAGAAAAAATTGATTTTAGACACTTAAATTAATATTGATATTTATTTAACATATCTCACTTTTACGTTACATTACTCATTTTATCTACTATTTATAAATATTTATTTTTGAAGTATTGACTTTTTTATTTAAATAATATTTTTTTTAAAAACTAATTCTAAAAATAAGGTACTGGGCAAACTATTTCTTTGTCTGGTGTTGTTTTTGGTTATACCAGCAATTGTATCACCTATGCATGAACGATAAAAAAAAACTATTATTATTTTAATGCACTATCAAACTAGGATAGTCAATACAAGTCTAGACACGTATACATAAATAGTATTGAAAAGGTTGGGACGATACAAGACATGTGTCATACGTTTATTTGTATCGACAAAACACAGACAATAGTATTTTGAAATGGACGATCAAGGAGTAAGCGAGACACGTGGCAAGATCCTAACTAGTACCAATTCTGGCCCAGCAACTCGGCTATCGTAACATCTGGGGCAATACTCGTTCAAATCATAACACATGTCTTAGTGAGAATGGATGATGTAACATATTTTTATGTTTTCATTTAATATTTTATTTTGATTTATAAACACTTTTCATATGCTTTATTTTTAGAGTTTTTATCATTTTCTAGCTACTTGCATAAATTGGGCTTGTTACAAATAGATGTTTTAATTTCGTATTTTTAGTTATTCTGACCTCTGACTACTTCTTTGGCCATGACTTTTTCTATAGATGTTGTTCTTGACTGATTTCAGTTGTATTAGATTCTACACATTTAGAACTTCAAAATGCTTATATGAATTGCTGGATTTAGAGTTGTTTTAGATTTTATATGATTTTTTAAAGTAGAAAAATATTTGCTGAATCTTGAATGCGAGAATGCATTTGTACCCATGTTATTAAATAATTATATGTGGGCTTATAATTATAACTGAGGCCCAAATTCTAGCTATTTAATTTATCCTAATGAAAACCCGTAAATAGATTAATAAGGTTCTGAATTAGGGGTGCGATTGGGCACCTTGAGTTTTTAAGATTTAGCCGTTAATAAGAATATTTTTTTTTACCTTCTCTCGATTTCTCTTATTCTTCTCTCATTTTTTCTTGGGTTAAGTGTTTTGATAAGAGGCTAAATCTCTCATTCAATCCGTAAAATCCAAACACTGTAAATTTGATTTAAGTTCTGAGTTAAATTGTTCTGAGTTTGTTCTCTTTTTCTCTAATATCATATTAGTGTATTGCGATTATGATTAACTTTTTGTGGTTAGAATTCAAATTAGGACTTAATTAATACTCTGATTTGATAATTAATACAGATTAGGTTAAATGATAATTTTATTTAATTCGTAATTTTGTTTAATTAGGTTATTCGATTGAATTAATAATTGAATTGGGTGATTGGTCAAACGCGATTAAAATCTTGAGATACTATGATAATCAGAATTACTTGCATTTGGTATTCTATAAATTGATATTTCTTAATTTATTTTTACTCAATTTAATTTTGTTTGTAATTTAATTTAATTAATTTATAGTTTTCAAACTCCCAAACTTTACTTGCAATTCTTTTATAAAAAAAACTTAAAATTGAATTTAATTGAAAATGTGTCTCTGTGGATTGACCTAAGTTTAATTCTATATTACAAAATTCTCAAAGAAACTTAGTTGTTTTGATAGCAACTCGGCATCGTCTATTAACAGGTGAAAAGTGTGAAATGATTCTAAAAATATTTGTCCTAAAAAAAATTATAAATATGTTGTATTACTGTCGGAAAAATTAAAAGGTAAAAATTTATTTAAAAAATAATTGATATTTTGTATATTTGTGGAAAAATAATTTACACTGTTGTTTCTAAATTTGTGTAATGGTGGTAGTGAATTAGAAGTAAAATATTGCTGACATTCAAGGTTAGTGTTGAACAAATCTTATATTTTTTTTATTTTTATTTTTAGAATTATTTTGAATGTTTATTTAATTTATTTTATAATTTTAACAAAAAATTATAATTGAATGTTTATGTATATATGCTTGTCGGTTCTGTGCCATGTGCTGGGTGTTAGGACGTTCAGGGGAAATAATTTTTTATCTTCAATTACTTAATTCATTTGCTAGTATACTTAAATGAGTAAAAAAAATGTTAAAAAAATATCAATGACAGTTAAAAAAATGATGTATATGTATAATTGTAGAAATAAAATATTAGGTTTAAAATTCATAAATAGATATGATTATTGGTTAAAAAGATAAATTACATTTAAGAAAAAAATTTCTCATTAATAAAAAATATGATAAATTAAAATGTTAGTAATCATTAATTAGAAGAATAAATTAAAAAAATTAAATAATCTTTAATAATTGAAATATAATTAAATAAAATTTATTAAGTTGCTAAATAAAATTTTGCAATAAGTTAAAATTTTGAATGTTCAAATAAGACAAATCATAAAATTAATTATTCTTAAAATGATATTAAGAGCTTAATTAATATAAATAAAAAATAGTTTAATGTAAGTAAATTAAAATAATCAGATAGCAGTATTGTGAAATTAAATATATAGTTTAAATTATTTAATAAAATAGGTAAAAATATTAAGTAGGGTTAATATCCTAATATGAATTAGTACAGCGGA